AGAGAAGCTGTGGCTGCCCCCTCCCTGGCAGGGTTCAAGGCCAGGTTGGATGGAGCTCTGAGCACCCTGGTCTGGTGGAAGGTGTCCCTGCTCATGGCAGGGGGGGTGGAACCAGATGATCTTTAAGGTCCCTTGCCATTCTATGATCCTATGATTCTATGAATTTAAATAAATGTTTATGTCTGGAGGGAGGCAGACGCTATCAGCAAGTGCAAGCGCACCCTGTTAATCTGAGTCTGCACTGCTCAGAAGAGACTGGGAACTAAAAGCCAAAGGAAAGCCACTCATCCCAGAGAGAAAGCACTCACACAGAGGTTTAAGGAAATACCATCACTATCAGTTTAGCTAACACAGTAACTATAGCAGCATGACCGGCCATGAATTCTTGGTTAGACTATTCCGTAAAAAGCCTGCTGCCCAGAGAGTCTCCTGACAGCAACCAGACCTCTGCTCCAGCTGCACCCAGCCAGTCAATCCAACCTCTGCCTTATCACGCCTTTCCTGAAAAGGAACCAGCACCAGGCTGCTTTCTGCCAGGCCAACTGTGCCATTCTGTTGCAAAAAAGGAAGAGCCTCAGCACCTCCCCGCTGAGGTCCCTGTGTCCACTCCCTTCCGGCATCCTCCGTGGACACTGTTCAGCCGCGACCAACCCCGTCCCACATTAAGTCGCAAAGAAAACCCTGCTTACTTCCTCGTTGTCTTCATCAGGGTTCACCTTCAGAGCGCTGATATCCACTTCACGCCAGCTGCAAGACACAACGTCAGAGAGCCGTCAGCCGCAGCAGCCCACGCCCCGCAAGCACTACCACGGTCTTTGGGGAAAAAATAAGCAGCCTGCCACGGCGAGCGACGTGCTTCGGCTCAGCTTTAAGCCAAGCAGCCACACTCGTCTGCCATCACCTCTCCTGACAACGGTCTCTCCCGGTCCCCCGGTAGCCTGCTCCGTTTTGAGCACATCTCGTCGTAGCGGGTTCGCACCCACCGAGCACAACGCTGGGGACGGGCAGGAGACGTCCTTCCACCTTGGGAGGGCCAGGAGCGGAGAGCGAGGGTACCGGTGTCCTCCCGCTGCGGCCCTTCCTCTGCGGCCCCTCCTCGGCCTCCCTGCCCAGCTCCCGGCGCTGCTCGGGCAGCACGGCTGGAGCCTGCCAAGGGCAGAGGAAGTGGAGCAGATGCTGCAGCGTTTCCTCCTCTTCCTCTGGCTCAGCACAGGCTCCCACCCTGCTCTGCTCCAAACAGGGCCGGGGAAGGGTCCAGTTCTGTGTCCAGTTCTGGGCTCCCCAGTTCAAGAAAGATGAGGAGCTACTGGAGAGTCCAGCAGAGGGCTATGAGGATGATGAGGGGACTGGAACATCTCTCCTACGAGGAGAGGCTGAGGGAGCTGGGCTTGTTCAGCCTGGAGAAGAGAAGGCTGAGA